AGAACAGGCTGATTGATGAAGTACACTGCTGAGGGGAGCAGCAGGCGAGGCAGCAGAGTGCTGCTGTGCCATGTGGGTCACTCCCTGGCCGGGGATCGAACTCAGGCAGGCAGTGAGTGGTGATATTGCTGAGGCTTACGCCCTAGGCCACCAGGGAGGCCCTCCCTCCATTTTCTCAAACATATCTGTTTAGAGTAGACTTCTAAAACTAGTATTAAATTGATACAATTTTTATGCATTTTAAGTTCCTCACTTTTTTTTTTTTTAAAAAGATTTATTTATTTGTGCATACAGAACTGGGGTACAGGCCAGAGGCTCAGGGGCGGTGAGAGGCTTCACCAGAGACAGAGTGGGGAACAAAACAGGCAGATCGACGAAGTACACTGCTGAGGGGAGCAGCGGGTGGGTCAGGAGAGGTCTGCCCCACCATGTGGTCTCCTCCGGGGCAGGCGGGAATCAAACTCATGCGGAAGCGGCTTTAGATTCTCAGTGCTGTGCTTTAACCCGCTGCGCCACCAGGGAGGGCCTCCTCACTTTCATTTTACATTCACATTTTCTTACAAGGCACCCAAGAAATAAAGCATTTCCTTTATAGGATTGTTTGAGTATTTATTTATTCTTTCACAAACTATTCTATAAAATTTATTTTTCATAAACTATTATATAAAATGTCAAAGTATGTAACTATCACAATGTAAGCAGACTAAAATTTTCTAAAATACTATGATTCAGTCTGATCATTAAATTAACACTAAAAATATTGTATCTAAATCATGGGAATAAGATCTCTAGGCCTGGTGTTAGCACCGACACATGGGCTTATTTCAACTATGGCTTCATCCACTGGACTAGCTTTTCCACATTCTTTTGTCCTATGTTTCTCATGACCAAGTTTTCCTTTCCTATTCTGCCACTCCCCAGCCCAAGCTATTGTTATTCTTGGCTGAGATTACTGCTCAGCCAAGAGCAGGTGTTGATCTTTTTTTATTCTTCCTGAGAGCCCTCAGAGCCCAGACTCCTGTTTGCTGTCCTGTCCACAAAGGAGACCTGTGGACTTTCCTCTTGACTTTCCATCACCTGCCCTCCGCCTTCTCTGGGCAAAGTGCTCATTGACTCCTGACTGTCAGCCTAAAAGGCCCTGTTCTTGCCTTGATTCAAGTTTCTAGCAGGTAAATGTCTCCAGCACTGAGACTTTGTCTTCTTATCTAATACTCAGTACAACTTGGAATCTAGGGGATGCTTTATTTGCTAAACAAACGAATAGATAAATATTTCTGGGCCCTCCGGCTACAAATCTCTTTTACCTAAAGATCTCTTCTCTGTTTCAGTTAGCCATCTTCCCAGTCTGCTCTGACCTACCTGGTTACTCCTTGGTTTCTTTGTTTTCTTCAAATTTTCATTAAATTCTGGTTGTGTAACAGGGTGGGCAGGGAATCTGGAACTTCTCCTTTTCCTAGGGACCACCCTGTTACAGTTTTCCTCAAAAGAAGTTTTCAAATCACTTCTACAACCACAGCACTTACTTTTCTCTTAAGTGCTTTCCATGGTTGGTTTAAACTCTCTTTAGTTTGAAGCTATCCAATGTTGTTTTTATTGTCTCAGAATTTTATCTTATTTAAAAAAATAAATTTTATATGTATACATTTTACATCTTTGTCCTTACCTTTAAAAAAAGCAAAACTGGCACATAGACCAATTTTGCTCTTTTCTTAAAACTCATTTACTTAACTCCAAAATCCAAACAAACATCCCGTGAGCAATCAAAGTTAACACCTTTCTAATGTCAAACTTACTGTTCTTTCCCACAAACTCAACTTTCTTCCCTGTTTGAGTGACTGATCCAGTTTCACCCTAGCCTGCCCACACCAGGATCCCAGGAGTCATTCTAGAGTGTTCTTTTCATTAGTGTGACAAAATTTAGTTTTTTCACTGGCTGACTTTTTTATTTTCAAAGGTCAGATGTCAAGGAAAGATTCTGTGTCTTTTGATTGTTTTAATTTTTTTCTTAAAAGATCTAAAATAGCTTTATTGAGATGTAATTCACATACCATATAATTCATGAATTTTAAGTATACAAATGACTTTTGCTATAGTAACAGAGTTTGTGACCTCAGCCACAATCTAATTTCAGAACATTTTGTTCTTAAAAAAAAAAAAAAAAAAAAACTGCCCCAATAACAGCCCCTCCTATTTCCTACCACCCCACCCCAGCCTTAGGGGATTCCTTAGGGGATTTCTCTCTCCATAGTTTCCCTGTTCTGTACACTTCATGTAAATAGGAGCCTGTAAGAAGTGATCTTTTGGGACTGGATTCTTTATCTCTTCTTCAAGGAGGGATTAATTTCCAAACTGCCCTCCCCAGCTTCCCATTCCTGATGCCCTTTCTAGCCCTTCTTATTAGTCCTTGGCACAGAATACCTTTTCAAATAATAGTTTGAAAGACGATTTCAAATAATAGTTTACTCCAAAGACATTGGGCAAATAAATACCCAGTCAAAAAGGGTATTGCCACTGTTTCTGCCAAGAACCAGGAGCAACCTACCCACCAGCATTTCTCCACGTCTGCTCCAACCTTCTCTTCCAGGCATCTCTACATGTCTTTGTTCCACATGCATCCTCTTCCCCTTCTTCATTCCACCTCTTTTTATATACCCACGTTGGTCCTCTTCAGCCACCTCCACTAGTAATTCTAGTTCATGGCACACTGAGACTTGTAATTCAGGGCGGTAGTGGGTAAGTGTGGCTGAGAAAAATGGCACCTCCCGATCACAGAGGTGGGTGCATAGCAAAAACAGGAGCTAATGTATGGGTGTCTACCTGGTTTTCATTGTTAATTTTCTAGGTAATTTGAAGCTGGGGTATTCTTTGTCTTCTGATGATGCTGAAGGCAGTGGTTTGAAATCTGATTTACAAGGCTACAATTTCCTTGGCATCCCTGAATTCCTATAATCATTTTTTTTGGTTTCAAATATTTAAGGCACGGGTAGTTATAAATTAATTTTGAACTTTATTACTAATAAGGATGAGTTTAAGATTTAACTCTATGCAGTTGTTTTTTCCCCAGATAGCATCTATATGAAATCCATATCTTAAGAGACTGCATTTTAAAGCTATGGCTAAACATTATTTTTGAGACACATTTTGGAAAATACTGGGTCTAACTGATTTGTTTAAGATCATTTTCTAATTCAGAAGTTATCTTCCTATTATGAAAAATGTATAGATTTGATATCAACAACTGTTTTAGGGGATTTTAGAGGATGTAAGTGTTTTTGATGATAATTGTGGAAGTAAGATACAACAGATTTAGTATTTCCACAGGAGAGTGGAAAGGCACTAAAATGCATAACAAAATTAAGGAGGAATGATTTTTTCTTACATATTCATTAACATTGGATTATTTTATTACTTCTGCATTATGGATTTCCTACATAATGCCATAGATTACCACAAAATACTGGAAAGAATGTAGGCAATCATAAATTCTAATTTATTTAAAATATCAATCAGTCTAAACAAATTTCCTAAAAATCACACAACATGTTAGGGACAGAATTGAGTTTGGTGTACTAAATTGATTCATTAGACTTTGCTGTATAATGGTCTATCCCTGCAAATAGTGATTCAAAATGGCCATTAACTTAGATCACTGTGCTCACTAGGTTGCCAATTAATTGCAAGGATGCCAAGAACAACAACTATGGAAGCTGAAAACCCCTCTTCAAGCTTAGACATGATTAACTTGCATCCCCATAGTCAAAAGAATATCTGGAATCCAAAGGGTGGGGAAACAGACTTTTCTTGATGGGAGGAACTTCAAAGCATCTTCTTTGAAGAGAGGTCTCTCCCACCATTTCCCCCAGTCCTTAACCCCACTACCTCAGTTAGCTCACAGCATATGGCTATCTCAGTGTAAATCCTGAGGTAAGCAACTAGATAAGAAAATTTACTCTTCTACTTAACAGTCACCAATTTCTGTTTGTGGAATTTAGGAATCTTTATCCAACATTTGAAATGTGTTTTAGAGACTGAGCTTCGCAGGAAGAAATTTTAAAGTCATATTCAGATATAAGCAAAAATAGATGAACAAACAGTGAGAGAGAGGAGGCAGGCACAGGGAGAGTGCAACAGATCATGGCGGGAGGGGTGCAGTGGAGGGTACAGCTGGAGGTCTCTTCTGACATCACCCACCTAAAACCCCTCAAAGTGGGGGCTTCCAGCTCTTCCATCCACTCATACTTGTTTAGTTAAGGTTGAATTTCCATTTCGGGAAAGGGTTTCACCCCCAGAACAGGAAACTGGACAAGTTCTGTGAATTGGAGGATACTGGTGTATAGCAGAGATTCTGTGGAGATTCAGGGAACAGGAATTTCACTATCACAACAGAACCATGATAGCATCACAAAGTGGAACTTGCAGCTAAGAAAAAGCCCTATAGTCTGCATAGGTCATGTCATCGATGTGTCACAGACATAGGTAACACTCCAGGAGCTCAGGAAACCTACCATAAATCAGTCAACCTACCAGATGGTTTTTCCTCAGCACTTCCTGTCTCAGCGTGGGGACAGGAAGTGAGACACCATGAAGTCTGCAGGTGGGAGACATCATGGGGTTGATGAAAACAGACATAGGAAAAGCGAAGTCATAGTGACTCTGAAATTCTTTATGTTTTGGCACATTAGCAAACACTAACTCAAGGGAAATAGACTTTGGCTACATTTACAACCTTATAGAAATGTATGAACTAAAAATGTTCTTTTCTAAACGATGAGACCTTTTGTTACTGATTTCTTAATGATAAAATAGCAGGAGTTATGGTGGAGTAGTGCTACAGCTGGTTTATTCCACTCCACCGAGTGCCATCTTCAAGTTCCCTGATTCACGATCTGTTGAAATTAATCCTGCCCTGAAGAGCTAATTATTTGGATTTGACCCCACGTTGTGTTTTTGGTCAAATACCTTCTTACAAATCAACTTACCGATTCTTCTCTTGGTTTCAGAGGATCTGATCATGTCCTTCACAGTGTCTATGGCAGTCGGGCTCGTCCTCGGAGGATTTATCTGGGCTCTGTTTGTTTGTTTGTCTCGGAAAAGAGCCAGCGCTCCTATCTCACAGTGGAGTTCAAGCCGGCGATCTCGGTCTTCTTACAACCAAGGCCTCAACAGGACTGGACTTTACCGTCACAGCGGCTGTGAACGTCGAAGCAACCTCAGCTTGGCCAGTCTCACGTTCCAGCGCCAAGCTTCCATGGATCAAGCTAATTCCTTTCCAAGAAAATCCAGCTTCAGGGCCTCCACTTTCCATCCATTCCTGCAAAGTCCTCCACTGCCCGTGGAAACTGACAGCCAGCTGATGACGCTCCCTTCCTCCAGTGCCTCTTCTGCCATCAATACCTTCCACAGTCTGAGCCGTCCCGATTTCCACTGGTCCAGTAACAGCCTTCGCGTTGGCCTTGCGACTCCTCCGCCACCAGCCTACGAGTCCATCATAAAAGCGTTCCCAGATTCCTGAGTAATCAGGGGGCTTTCCTTGATAACCTGCTTCTTTCTTTTCTTTCTCTTTTTTTTTTTTAATGGAAAGGAAATAACAAATAACCTAAAGAGATTTCCGAGAAACAAGCTCAATAACTGGTGAGGTTTTAAGGCTGTCATATGTCCCCGATGGACATAACAATGTAAAACGTATTTTTAATACGTGTTTTCCTTGTGCCTCACAAAACGGTAATTTTTTCCCCAAACAGTTCTGTATTATGTCTTTTTAAATTCAAGGTGAAGATTTTTAAAGATTGTGCTTTCATCTAACCATCAGTTGTGAAATAGTATATATATTCTCATGAAAATAAAAATTACAGGTATTTTTGGTTTACAATCCTCGTTCACTTCTTTGATGTGGCTATAACGGGGAAAAATGAGTTTCTCTTTTTCAACATTTTTTTAAAACACTTTCTATCATAAGGAATTTTAATTTTACTTTCTTTAGACTGACAAGTGAATCATTTTACAATCTTGGACTTTTTATGAATATTTGGGCACAAAATGAGAGAATGTAGGTGGCTGTGAAGTTCCTTGACTCTCTTCACTTATGAAAGTGAAGGAATTGAGAAAATGCAGACAAACTGTGAGTTTTGTAAGAATTTCCATGTTTGATCCTTACTTCTCCCCAAGTTTCCTACTGAGGCTATCCCTTCCCATCACTGAGGTGAACTCCTGGAATCTGCTAACATGATTTTAACATTTCTCAACTTTGTGTAGTTATGTTGTTACAAAAGCAACAACTCAACTTGCTTGACCTAAAACTCTCTTTCACACTGAGGTTTCCATTTTTTTCTAGGGGAATACATCTTCTTCCTTCGATTTGAATCTAGAAACTGGAAAAGCACTTTATCTAGGGGTCTTGTCTTATAACTTCAAAACAAATAAGTGCCATGGGGAAAAACTTTGTCCTCAACATAGTTGCTGTGGCCATAAAGCATTCTCTCTCCTAGATATATTCATAAAACATCATCCCCTTCTTTGCTATGACTCTCAACCTCAGATTCTCTGAAGAGCTGTTGTTGATCAGCAAACAGAGCTGTGTATTTATTGGGGGAGTCCTCTGCCCCATGAGGAAGGTACATCCCAAAAGTGGGTACCAGAAATTTCCAGTGTCCAGAGGTCGGCAGCTTCCCCCTTTCACGTCAGGACTCCAGGCCAGTGAGTACTCTTCAGACGGCCTGTGGTTCCTCTGTGAGACAAGAGAACACTGAGCTGTAGTTGCATCTGTTCCTAGGAATGCTGGGATTTTCAGTGAAGAAAAACAATTCATTTCAGCTCCCTCTGTGCAGTGTTCAACCAAGAGTGTCTGATTGCGGCGACTTTTATATAATAAAGGATTCCTTATAGCATTTCTTTCTTATTTTTATTTAGCCTTTGTTCTTAATGATTATTCTTAATGATGTCTGTAAATCGATGTTCTCTTGTGTAATATATCTGATTGAAAGGAGGGGGGAAGAAGGATGGGAGGAAAAAAGGGTGAAGCAGAAGAAAGCAGAGAACAAAAATTGAAAGGATGACAAATTTACTATAAACTGACTTTTTAATAAAGAAATGTAGCAGCCGTCATGTAGCCAAGTAAGAGTGCAATACTTGGTTAACCGAGAAGCAAGATTATTTTGGGCTTGTCTGTCGTTCTAAATGCTCAATCTAAATGTTTAATGTGAGAAGTGAGCAAAGCCTATGGTTTTTATAAAGAATTGACACGGGAAATAAAAACCGCTTCTTCTCTTTCAAATAAGGAAAATGAGGACAGAAATCCTTTGATGTATTTAACCATCTGGCAGAATTGTGATTCTCCCTTCCTTAATTATAAAGCAATCAAAATGAGTATCTTGTAAATATTGTGAAATGTATGAAGTGTGAAATTAAAGCAAGAGCTGGAGACTTTTCTAGTTATATGTTTTATGTGATGTTTTGTTGATCATGACACAAAATCAAACTGGTATCTATTTTGATTCACGGCTTTTTTATTGAATAACTTGTGAATATCATCGTTTTACTTTAGTATATTAACCAATACATACAATCTGTATGTGCCATCACTGAGACACAAATCCCATTTTATATAGAAATATGTAAGAGAAAAGGGGTAACTTCAAATAATTTGAACAAGATTTTTCAGGAAAGTAATGCAGGTGAAAGATAGGTTATTGGTTAAAACAGGATTCTTACTTTACTAGAAAATAATCCCAAAGGTATTTCCTTCACCTTTTTAGGGAATAAACATTTAAAATAAATGCAAGTTTAAAATCAGAGGAAGGGGCCTCCCTGGCAGTACAAGGGGTTAAGTCTCAGCATGATGAAGCTACCTAGCAGCCACTGCAACAGGTGTTCGATCCCCAGGTGGGGAGCTGCCCCACAAGGCCCGGCAGACCTCTCCTATCTCACCTGCTGCTCCCCTCAGCAATGTATTTCAGTTGATCTGCCTATTCTGCTCCCCACTCTGTCTCTGGTGTAACCTCTCACCTTCCCACACCTCTGGCCTGAACCCTAGTTCCTATATGCATAAAAAAATAAAATCTTTAAAAAAAATGGGAAATTTGAGATGTTTGTAAATCTACAAAATCTAAAAGAAATGCTTTTCATAGTTTAATCTGTGAAATAAACATGAAAATTAAAGGGATGCAATAAATTATAAAGAAAAAAACGAATAATTTTGATCATTTAAAAATTATGAAATGTTCTTCATCAAAAGATAAATTTGCCCAATATTTAAAAGTAAGCAAAGAAGAAAGGGGAAGGAGAAGAAGAAAAGATTCACCATAGATAATGACGAACAAGTGGCCAAAACCTCTAGTTTAGGAATAACTCACCCAAACAGACATGAAAATCACGTGGTTCCAAATAAACAAAAGCAGAAGGAAGCAAAACAGATCACTCACCAAAGAGAGAACAGCACGAATATGGTAAACTAACAAGAAATTTTACATGCACATTTAGACACGACACCGGCATTTTTGTCAACCACAAGAGCTGGCATTTATGATGTCTCTCCTCACTGATGTTAAAGACACAAGAAAAGGGTGTGCTCCATAGGCCTGGTGGTAAAGTAAGTTGCAACTGTGCTTTTGGAAGAGAGGCCGATACAATGGCCAAAGCCTTGAACTGGACATGGCTGAAGTCTCAGCGTCTACAGGAGCACAGATGCCCTGGTGATGGGCTTTTAATGTGACAGATCCTGCTTTTCTGGTCACCTGGACTGAAGCAGAGCAATTATTATCAGATGGCAAGGAACCCATCCAGTTGGGTCCTCTCTGCTTTGGGGTGAAAAGATCAGGTTGAAAGGAGAGTGGAATTGCGGGCAGTAATATCATAAGAGACTCTTGGGGAAAGATGATTCTACAAGAGCAGAGGCCCGGAGTATGCAGCATCTTAAAAAAAAAAATTCTCATTATGTTTACTTTTATATTTTATGCCTTCACAACTTGAAAGAAATTAGCTCCGTAAGCAGTTTAAAAGAGCAAGTGTGTGGACAGTGGATGCCTTGTCCTGACTCCAGTGAGAAAGTTCTCTGCTCTGGGCCCCAGGTCCCGTGAGATCTGTCACTTTGGATTCTATCCTCAGAACCTTCTAGGTGATGACTCGGTGTCCAGCATTGCTCTCTGAATAGTGCAGCCGAGACTGCACCTGAGCCAAGGTGGGTTCCGGCCCAGGTGTGCCGTTGAGTTGCTGACCCAAGAATTCTAGAGCTTTTGTCTATGGGGCTTCCCAGCTCTCAAGGGTGGGGACCCAATCCTAGCAGGAGAGCCTGGATCACCTATGCTGACTAGGGCATATTTGTTCATGGAATCATACTTAGGTCACTAAAATGGCATGAAGATACTGATGTGGGTGAACTCCCACACTGGGTGAAGAATCTTCATGCGCCTTGAATGACAATAGACATCTATGTATTGCTTTTCAGCTCACTTAAATTAGTCATGGAAAGGTCACTTTACCTCACATATTCCCATGAACGTTATAAAACATTTTAAATATGAATGAAGTTAAAAAAAAGTCATGAGAAAAATATTCCAGCCCCGCATACCATGTTCACCCTGCTGCTGAGATAATGTGAGAGACAGAAGGCATCCCTGAGGTGAGAGGAAGCAGAGGAAGCACTCTGTGGTGGTTCATGCTGATCATTTCTGACTGATGTGGTTCAGACATTGCTGTTTCTGAAGGGTTCTGAGGATCGCAGCGACAGCTTTGGAGGGGCTCCAAGGGGTGAACCCAAGCAAAGGGGATGGACCCCTTACCTCTCCGTGATCAGATGACGCAGAGATCAGTCACATAATTGCATGTGGCTCTTTTAAGTCTTGCTGTGGAAAGGACAGGTCCCAGACCCCAAAAGCCAAGCCAGGAGGAAAGAGAACCTCAGGGCTGCTGTGTCACTTGCTGTTTGTAGTCTTCACTGTGAGACCTCTGCAAAAGAGCTTCAGAAATAAATGCATCTGTGAACCAGGATTAGACAGGGTTTTCTAGTGAAAAATCAGGTTTCTAGGTAAAAGATGCTGTCAGGAAGACAGACTCTTCATGCAGCAGAAAGACAGAGACCTCAGTTGTATCAGTTGCTACAAGGAGGGTGGTAGCAACTGGACTGGAAGCTATTATGAGAAGCCAATGGTCATTGGAATTCCAGAATGAAGGTATTCAGGATTTTGTAGGCAGGATCATGAGAAGGTCAGACCCATCTCTCTCTATAGCTCTCCACTTTTCTTCATGCTATAAAATGGCCAGTGGTGGTAGTGAAGATCATCTTTGGAGGAGTGGACTGACTTTAACACATTTCCTTCCTCAACTCTGGACCTTATGTAAGACAGGGCAAGGTGGAATGCCCACCAATAGGCAGTGAAGATTGTCAACATCTGGATCATACATCTCAAGACTTTTAACCCTCGCACTCCATAAATCTCCAACTTCATCACATTTATTCCATCTGGGCACATATGGACCCAACTGCACAAATCTCTTCCAGAAAGGTCTTGGAGTGAGGAGCTGTCTCTATGTGATAAGCATCAGGTTTCCATGTGTTGCTTGACATAACTTGAATCTTTGTGTTAAGACATTTCCACTTACCTGACCAGGGAAGCTTGGTCCTCAATGATTCTGCCTCTGGGTAGAAAGAAGTGGGAGGTGGGAACTCTGTGTAGTGATTTATTTGTTGTCTGCCTCACCCCAATGTGCATGCTTTCCCACAAATGATGACTCATTGGGCTTCTCATTAAAGTAGACAATCAGTAACATTTCCCACATGCTTTGGCATTTTTTTGAGGAAACTCTCATTCTATTAGATTAATTCCAACCCAAGGTTTTTGCAGGAGTGGCATGGGTCTGGTCTTTGACGCTGCCTTCTGGATGGACTCTGGTGGCTCACTCAGGCAGATTGTAGACAACCGGTCTCACTGAATCTTGTGTTATCTTCACCAAATCAAATCTGCAAAGTTCACTTACAATTTAATGTTTTTGAGTCATCTTGACATTATGACTTCATAAGTGTAAACTGAAAACCTCACTTACTGGAATTTTTTTTTTTTAAATAATGAAAAAACACAGGCCGGATCCCTGATCTGTAGAGGCTTTATAACATTAGGCAAAATGCTCATGAGGTCATGTTGCTGAAAGAATTTTTCTAAAGCAATTGATCTCTAATATTTCTAAAGCATATCAAATAATATGACTATGTTCACGAGAAGCAGACAATGTATAAGGAATGGGGTAAGGTGTTAGGATAACACCTATTTGACCATTATTTTTTAATGGTCAAATATTCTACTTTTTTTATTGAAGTGATGCTGGTTTCCAACATGTGTGTGACTGAAAGGCAGAGGACCACATCCCCTCGGGTACCTGTCCCTCACGGCCCCCACCATGGGCATTGGTGGTCCTCCATTATAATCCAGGTTTTAGGGGTTTGTTTGCATTTTTGATGTAGGCCAATAACACAACCAAATGTTAAAAGTATAAACAAGATTAGCATTACTGAAATAATTGAGTTTTTAAAAAAGATATATATATATACAAGAATGGGGTAAAGACCAGAGATGCGAGGGGTGACAGAATGGGGAGCAGAACAACAAATCAACTGAAATTCACTGCTGAGGGGAGTATCAGGGAGACAGGAGAGGTCTACTGAGCCATGTGGGTCACCTCCCTGGCCGGGGATTGAACTCCTGTTGTGGTGACTGCAGACAGCTTCATAGTGCTGAGACTTAAACCCACTGCACCATCAGAGAGGGCCCTAGAGGTTTTTCTTTATTTTAAAATTGTAAATAGTGTGAATAGATAAATATCCGTTACATGGCCCATTATTTAGAAATCCAAGCATATTGACTTGAATTAATAGAACCTTTAGATGTTTCATAAATGATATTTTATTTTGTAGGTAATGAAGACTGAAACTTTCCAGGATGATGATTTTTATTAATGACTTAAATAGCTTAGAGTTAATACTTGCTGCTAAATGGGATCACAAAACATTCAGTTCCATTACTTTATTCCACTTTTAGCTATATCCATTCATATTGGTGTTTAGTGCTAAGTGTGTGTGGGGCACACATGTGTGCTGTGTGTGTGTGGGGAGGGGGATGGAGAAGAGGACCACATGGGAACGCTACTTTCTGCACAATTTTCTGTAAATCTAAAAAATAAGGTCTATTTAAAAAATAGGTAGACACTTCCTTTTCTCCCCTCTTATTTCATCTCTTTCCCTTCCCTCTTTGCACCGTTATACAATATTGATAAAAGAAAATCTAAACAAGACTCTAGTAAGAAGTAGATGAAAAAGTTAAGGCCCAAGGAGATATCTGAGACTAAGAGAAGGCAAAGTGGAGTTAGTAAGGAAGTCAATAGTCCCCAAACAGTCTGACCTCCTAAATGCATACTCGGATATGAACACAGATCTGGCTGTTAGCTTTCCAGACATAAATTTAGAAAAAGGACTTTGAACTGATATCTCACTCAGAGTGC